ACATAAAATATCTAAACGCTGCAGTCACTGATACTTACACCCAAAAATGCCAACGCTCCTTGAACTGTAGCAGCCCATTCAAAGCTGAGATGTTGAACAATAATTCCTCCCACAATGGGGCCATAAAACATCCTTAAAAACAAGCACAAAATTAGAACCAACATCAAGGCGCTAAAAAACAAAATGCCGGGAAACAAATATATTAGGGACTCACCCAGTGCACCACACTGCACCAAATAACCCAGACACCATTCCAAGTGTACTTAGCCCCTCTTCAAATCCTATTTCACTATGAGAAAAAACAAAATTTGCAGAGCATTTGTTTCATCCAGCCATATTTATGAAAAAAAAAACCCACAAGAAAACCCAAAAACAATATACAGCTCATGAATGTTGAGCATTATGTGAAGCAACTCACTATGCACATGTGATGATCTCAGGGAACGTGGGGATTGCACTCATACCCAGAGAAAATCCAATTAGGCCAAGCATGACAACCAGCAACCACAGGTGACTAAACCAAAACAGAAATACAGAAAAAGATACAGAAGTTAAACTTTTTAAGGCAAAGGGATGAAATAGTGTATAAGTTGTCAATATGTCCCACTGAATACCTCCCTAGTAGTGGTATAAAGTTTAAATATCTGGGCTTAATCATCGAAAGGAGCACAGTGCACAAGAGAGGTGAAGAAAAGAGCCAGGAGGGAGTGGGTGGAGATGAGTTTCAGGGGTGATTTGTGACAGGAATAGTGAAAGGAGTAGTGGATAAAACTGGACAAAGAATGTTAGAAATAAAGCTGCCAGGCAGGAGGAAAAGAAGAAAACCACTGAAGAGGTTCATGGGTGTACTGCAGGAGGACTGGTGTGACAGAGGAAGATGTTAGGGATAGGCTGAAAAGGAAGCAGACGATTTGCTGTGGTGAACCCTAAAAGAAGCAGCCAAAAGAAGAAGAAGAACAAAAAGAAATGGTGTAAGATACTATGAAATCTTATGATCGTATGACTGCAAAGTAAAGATTTACATTGGGATTTGACGTTTAACCACACTCAAGGGCATGAATGTCATGACAATTTAGGGCTTTTAACTATCTTTTTCCAGGGCAGAATGATGGTACAGTATAGATATTTATATCTATAGATATATATAGTATAGATATATATTTATGACTTTGAAAAAATATAAATTGGGTGCACACGTTTGGATTTATTTAGGTTTTTTCCTCATTTACACAGGGCCAATTATGTACATATGCTATTTTAATAAGTGTGCCTCCAAATTCATTCATTAACTCAAATCAACAGCTGTATCGTTGAAACTTGGACGCAATTGTGTGTTCCAGCAGGACAATGATGCTAAACTGGTTTTGGAATAGATAAAGAAGGCTAACATTAAGCTTTTTTAAAGCCCTAAGCTCAACCCTATTGAACATTTGTTGACTACAATTGAAAGCCAGATCCATACCAGGAAACCAACCAGTTCAACTCTATAAACTGGTCAAGAATGCAACTAAAATGATCCCAGAAGCATGTTGATGGCATCCAAAAGTGTCTGGTTGAGGATATTTAACCACATATTATTGCTGGCCATTACAAAGAGTGCAGGTTTAAAACACCTTCAAATGGTAAGATCACATTTTTATTCAGAGTGGGACTGTTTCCTGGCAGGTGCGACTATATACATTACTTAATGAGATTGGGAAAATCCACTCCTATCTTTCCTCTAATATGACTCTTGGCTCAGAGGGGCATACGCATCTTTCTTAAAATGTCCATCATTTTTAAATACAGAAGTGTTAGTTTTACCTGAATCCCACACTAACCTCTGGATGTGAAGAAAAGGGGCGGGA